CCCCCCGCCCCCCCAGGGGTTACCTTTACCCTTCTCTCTCCCAAGCTCCAATGCCCTTCTTTTGTCTCTGTAACTTGTTTCCTGAGCCAATTTCTTCTACCACTCACTTCTTCTACCTCAGTGACTTTCTAAATAAACTTTCTCTTATAGTTTGTCTTGGCTCTGAAGTCTTTCCTAGCCAGAACTCGAGTACTGGTGTTGCTGAACCAAGGTCCTGTCACCCCACCAGTCTAGCGCCTGGTGCTGTTCTCACTGCAGCCAACAGAGTCAGCAAATCCAGGAATATCTAGCTTAATTATATATTGATGGTGACCTACTAACAAGGTCCCTTATGAAAAATAACTGAGAATTAAAATTTAATTATTCTTTAAGTTTGGTCATATTACCAAAGGAGAGTATTATATACAGTTTTAATTGTGCCACAAATTTAGAAGATATTTAGCCATAACCTACTTAACCATTCTCTTGTTTTTAGACATTCAGATTGTTTTCAGTATTTTACTATCTTAAATAATTTTGCAAATATAGACCTTGGGGTGGGGGAGACTTTTAATCCTTACCTGAAGATATGTTGGGTTTTTTTTAAATTGATTTGAGAGGGGAAGGGGAAGAGAGAGAGACATTGATGTGAGAGAAAAGCATCGATTCGTTGCCTCCTCTAGGGATCAAACCTGCAACCTAGGCATGTGCCCCGACCAGGAATCAAACCCACGACCTTTTGGTATATGGGACGATGATTAGGAGTGATTTTAGAAGTGGAATTATTGTTTCAAAGAGAAATTTTATGGTTCTTGACATGCATGATCATGTAGCTTTTTTTTTCTTTTTTCACTTTATTATTGTTTAAAATATTACAGATGTCCCTTTTTCTCCCCAATGACCCGCTCCACCCCGTCCCATCCCCCTCCCCAGTCCCTCTCCCCACCATTGTCCATGTCCTTGGGTTGTGCATGTATGCATATAAATTCTTTGGTTACTCTCTGCCCTCCCCCCACCCGCCTTCCTCCATCCCTCTGACATTCATCAGTCTCATCTGTGCTTCCATGTCATTGAATCATTTCTGTTCATCAGTTTATTAAGTTCTTTAGATTCCACGTATAAGCGGGATCATGTGATGTTTGTCTTTCTCTGCCTGGCTCATTTCACTTAGCATAATATTCTCTAGGTCCGTCCATACTGTCCCAAAGGGTATGAGCTGCTTCTTCTTTACAGCTGCCTAGTATTCCATGGTGTAAATGTCCCACAGCTTTTTGATCCACTCATCTGCTGATGTTGCACTTGGGCTGTTTCCAGATCTTAGCTATTATAAACTGTGCTGCTATGAACATCGGGGTACATATATCCTTTCTGATGAATGTTTCAGGATTCTCAGGATACATTCCTAGGAGTGGAATCACTGGGTCGAACGGCAGCTCCATTTTTAATTTTTTGAGGAACCTCCATACTGTTTTCCATAGTGGCTGCCCCAGTCTGCATTCCCACCAGCAGTGCACTAGGGTTCCCCTTTCTGCACACCCTCGCCAGCACATGTCGTTTGTTGATTTGTTGATGGAGCCATTCTGACAGGTGTGAAGTGATACCTCATTGTGGTTTTAATATGTGCATCTCTCTGATGATTAGCGACATCGAGCATTTTCTCATGTGTCTCTTGGCCAACCATATGTCCTCTTTGGAGAAGTGTCTATTTAAGTCCTTTGCCCATTTCTTAATTGGGTTGTTTGTCTTCCTCTTGCTGAGTGCTATGAGTTCTTTGTACACTTTGGAAATTAGCCCCTTATCAGATTCATCCTTGGCAAATATGTTTTCCCAAACCGTGGAATCATGTAGCTTTTTAAAAAGGCAAAACCAGTTTATATTTCTACCAGTAATATATAAGAATTCCCATTTCATCACATTCCTATCAGAATTCAGTATTTTTTCTAATTTGCAAATTTGATAGGCAAAAATGCTACTTTGTCTTAGTTTTCCTGTATTTGATTATTAATGAGGTCGAACATATTTTCCAGGTATTGTAAAACTAGTTTCTTATTTTTTTCCTTTTATGAGTCATCTGTGTCTGTCAACAAAGCATTCCTACTTAGGCACTCTGCTTACCAACTTTTAAAATGTTCCTTAAAATGCTGCACAGCTTTTTCCAGCATGTAGCTAACGAAGTCAGGACTCTCAGAGCCCTCCTCAGGAGGAATCGAGAGTGTGAAGTCGGGGGGAGGCAGAATGCTTACGTCTGTCCTCGTTTCATCTTGTTTGGAAGCATTTCCTTGGTGAACACCTGGAACTACCTGAGAAGGATTGGACAGTGAAAGATCACTAAATCCCAGTGCACATTTGGGGTTAATTTAATGCCACATTAGTCTTGAAGAATAAAAATTTGAGAAGATTTAGCAGTGCATTCAATCTTCAAGACAAAACTTTTTTCTCATTAAATTAAAAGTCTATATTTGTGAGGATGATTAAATATATTGAATTACTTTGCCCTCCTAGGGTATAATCTAATGGAGTGATAGAATCACAGAGTAAACAGGGATTGGACAGTGGTTGACTGTGTTCTACGGTAACAAAAACATTTTACATCATGACCCAAAGCATGCATATGTATGCACACATAAACTCACGTAATGGAAATGAAAATTCCATGACATATGCATATGACATTAAATGTAATGAACTCTCATATATTCTCTTGTAGTCTATTCTGTTTGTTGTTGTTGTTTTAATGTGCTGTTTGTGACTTTCTAAACTTATTTGTTAAACCACACATGAGCCATAACCTTGCAGTATGAAAGAGGGTGAAACACTAGATTACAGAAAGTTGATAGGCCAGAATCCCTGGAAGGAGAGCCTGAGACTCTAACTCAAGTGATTTATTAAGGGTGCCTTCAGGTGAAACTTTTAAGGGGACGAGGCAAGCGAGATTGAGAAGAGGGAGAGGCCAGTTGAGGATGTGGCCTCAGGTGACCTCTAGCCTCAGCCTGATCCTGCAGGGAGCTCTGGAGCATAAGCAGCCCGAAGGACAAAGCTTTGGAGAAGGTTGCAGCGCTGAGCAGTTAGCAGCAGCACCAGCTGGAGATGATAGCTCGATCCCCAGGGATTGGGATAGGCCACCAATGTTACATGCCCAAAATACTGCATCTTCAACTGCTCTGTCCAGTGGTTTTCGTATCCAAGCCTTCTAGGAACCCTGTCAATACTGACCTCATCAGGAATCACTGGCCTGGCTCATTTGTTTATTAATGTAACGTGTGGTGAGGCGGGAGTTCAGGAAAGAAATTCAGTCACTGTTATATGTTATACAAAAGGAGTTATTGATTGAATGTGAGAAACATGGTGTAAATCCATGGCAGAATGTTTTTATGTGAAGGTTAGTATGTAAATATGTTTAATTTTCAAAGTGAGTCAGAAGCTTACTGTGTCAAAAACTAATAAGAGCTATGATTTTCAATGTTCTTGCTTTGTATAAGGAACCCATACTAATTGCTTTACAAATATACATTTTAAAGTAGCTATTATTAGTCCCATTTAACAGGGAGAAAAACTGAGGCCTAGGGAGGTTGAGGAACTTTCCCAAACTTACTCAGCTGGCAAGTTTCACAGTTAGCTTTTGAACTCAAGCTGCTTAACCCAAAAGTCTTCTTTCTTAAAGTCTATATTGGCCAAGTTTCTTCAGGTTACCTGTATCAGTTATAGCACCATAGCTCTAAGCAGAATTAGCCATCTCTAGATTAGAAAGTATTTTATGTTTTAAATTGGTTTTCTTTATAGTTTTTTGTTTTCTAAAAACAATGCACTACATTATATCAAGTCAGCCTGAATACAATCACAATGGAAACATGAATATCCTCCTACAGCTCTTTCCAAATACATAAATTAACAGAAAAATCACTCTATGCACATGGAATCTCCATATCTGTTCTTAGATCCCCCATTACCTTTGCCAGCTCAGTCACCCAGCCAAACTCCTCTCTCATCTTCTCCATCAGATATGTAGTGTCCTCCAAATGATGCTGAGTCACCTGCAGAATCTGGATGTACTGCTGATCGGATATGTTGACCAGTTTACGGGCCTCACCTACTTTCGTGTGTAGTTCAGGTACGTCGGGACAGTCTAGCCAAGAAGAAAGCAACATGGTAAAGGGAAAGGCCCATGAAATTTGCAGTTGGGCGATGTGGTTAGTTTAAATCCTAGCCCTTTCGCTTTCTATTCCAACCTTTTGACCTCAAGTGAGTTGTCAACAGAGTAAAATGGTGGGAATGAAATAATGTAAAGTGCCTGATCACATGGCGCACGTTACAGATTTAACAAATGTTACTCTCCCTTTCCTTCTTTCTGTGCTGTCTGAAGGTCATTAGGGCTACTTACTGATGTTCTATCAGGACACATGGGGGAACACACTTTCCTGCCACCTTGAAGTCGAGCACAGCCTTCTTCAAAGTGGTGTGTCTCACTTCTGGAGGAAGCCTCTGAGGACAGTTCGGGACTCACTGCGCTCCCTTCCCTCTGGCAGTGGAACGAGCTTTGCTGCGTGTGGTGGAGGCCGTCACCCTGAGTGAGGACGTGTGTAGCGGAGCCCTCGCTCAAGCTCTAACTGACACGCTGCAGAGTGAGAAATAAACCTTTGTGTTTGCAAGCCACTAGGATTCTCCAGTGCTGTTGTTATTGCCCAGCAGCTCACCTGAACTGTAACAGGGTTATAGGAACTTACATAGGTGTGCTGATGAACAGCTTAATATTGCGTCAAGATCATCTATAGACTGTGGAGGTGCCTCTGTGTTAGGCATTTATGTGTTACCTTTGCAGCAGTCAGTTTACATTGCCCTTATACTGTGTTACCTGCTGTACTGTGTCTGATGCATTATCTGTATATACTGATGTTTATACTGTATCATCTAACCTCTTCTGTATTATCTCTCACTTTTATTAAGAAATGATTGACATGTGTCACTGTATAAGTTTAAGGTGAACAGCCTGATGGTTTGATTTATATATATTGTGAAACGACTCCTGCATTAGGTTTATTTAACATCCATCATCTCACATAGATACAATATAAAGAAAAGAAAATTCTCCTTGGGCTGAGAAATCTTAGAATCTGCTCTTAACAACATTCATATAGACCAGTCATTGTGCTGTGCATTACATCCCACTGCTTATTTAGGGTATACCCCGGAGTTTGTGCCTTTTGACTACCTTCCTCCAATCCCCCCCTCTTAGGACAACCAGTGAGAGATTATTCATTAAAGCTTCTAACCGGGTGAAAGGAAGTTAATGAGATGCTCGAGCGGGACTATTTGTGTAAGTGATTAGTAGATTCGTGTATATTTTTCTCTTATGAAAACTTCTGTTTCTGTGTGCAACCTCACAACTGTGATTTAAAAAACAAGCACTTGAATAATGGGCATCATTAGTACTTCAGGCATTTTATTTAATCCTCAAAACACCGGTAGGAAGTAACTATATTAATCCCATTTTCCAAACGACGAAGCGCAGATGCAGCGTCACCCAGATAGCAACTGAGCACAAACAAGACCTTCCTGGCTCTAACAATAAGGCCCAGTTTCCAGGCAGCCTCCTACTCCAAGCCCTTAGCCAGGCTTTTTTGCATTTCCTTCCATCGGGGCTTTGGTGAGGTTAAGAAGCAGAAGCGCCAGAATCAAAAGCAGCTCTTCTCGGCTTTTGGAAGAAATTCCGCTTTCAGGCCCTAGCGCGTGGGAGCAGCAACTTACTTACCGGAAGTGACGGGAAGGGAGGGAAGGGAGAGGGACCGGGGTGGGCGCCCGGTGGAGGAAGGATTTCTCTCCTGGGGATGGAACAAAGGCTGTGGTCAGATCTGGGAGGGCAAAGCCTGCTTGGGGCTTGCGAGGAGCAGCCACTTTCCATTTTTTAAATACCAGTTAGTAATGAACCCACCAACTGGAAAAAGTTCATGCCACTTTTAAAAAGAAAAGAAATTCACTTGGCTAAAAATTTGCTTACTTGAGGGGAAGACTGCCTTCGTTGGTGGGTTTTTTTCTTTGCGGCAAGAAGGAAGGAGTTGTCCCAATTTGTTCAGAGTTCTCTTTTGCACACGTTTGTGTGTGTTTGGTCTTCAACCATAAAAGCTTTCACAGGAACAAGGAGGGAATTTTAAATGGGGAAAAAGTGATTTTACCTACTTTTGAATAATAACAGTTTATAAACTACACTGAGCACCTCCAGCTGGAAATGAGCTTGCTAAAGAAGTGCTTGAAGGGAAGCAAATAAATCCACAACATTTGTAGAAGTCAGATTTTTTTTTTACCTCTGACCAGAATACTATTGAAACCCTGAGAAAAATATTAATCATTTACCTTCCCGTAGGTAATCCTGACACTTCTGGCATCTTGCGTGAAACTGGTAACATTCTGACAAATTCTGGCCTAGTCCTCCACACAGTCCTCTGCCCTGCATAGGCATTGTCTTTGAACTCAGGCTTCCAAGGTCAGCATCTGCAGGTGACACAGCATTTTATACATCAGTGTCATTAGAGTCTGCACTTTAAGGGAGTGGATACGATGCCATTTCTTTTTCTTACCCATGTTTTCAAAATCTTCCTGTATTTAATCATAGGAATGCATATTGGTGCAAACATATGCTGAGACAATTTGACATTTATTAAAAGTTGCATATATCCTTTACTTCAGTAATCTCATTACTATATTATTATTACTCTTCATTACTCCCTTTGCCCTACCTCCAGAAAGAGTTTTATTTTCTGGAAGGAATCATGAGGATTATTAATGGTAACTATCTTTCAGAGGGAGACATGATGGGGTAGGAGAGGGCAGCTTTCATTAATTTTGTTCCCTTCTATATATGAATTATTTTAAATTTAGTGTGTCTTATTTTTATCATGATTATTTCTGATGACAATAGGGTTAACTAAATAGGGGATTGTAAACCACTTTTCTCTTTAAATCTGTATTAAAAATTCTAATAATTATTTAACTTTTTAAAGCTATAACTGGGAAATACATTGACGTTTCAAAGATATTAAAATGTCTGTTTCTGAAACTAAGTGGTAGATTTACTTTATTACTATTTTTTTGCATTTTATATATATAGTGTTATGAACCGTGAGTTGAAGATTTAGGAAACCATCTAAAGCAGATCAACTTTTGAGAAAACTTTTCTGGAAGAATTAATTATTCATATAAAAATGATGATGTAATAGAGAAGTCTGCCCAACAGAACACTGACAGTTCCCAACTGAATGTTTTACATTAGAAAAATTTATTGCTAATTTATAACCTGATAATTTTCTGTTATAGTTAATCCTCAACATTTAAAAATGAAACATTTCATTTTGAGATAAATTGTTCAGTCCATTGCTTAACCTGCAAGGCATTCGTTAGATCATACGGTGTGTAAGCCAACCGTCTCCTTCGCTGGCTAGAAAGTCACTTCCTCCCAGCTCCCAGCTCCGGGCTCTAGATTTAGTGGCCTCACATCTTGCCCGCCCCTCCCCCAGGACCTCTCTGAGGGGATCCCCCACAGGCACTGTGTACTTTCTTTTCTTCTCTGTTAGACTCTGACCCTCTTGAGAGAAGGGATTTGGTCTTTCATTTTAATCTTTTTGTTCTTCCGTACTTCTGTCATTTCACTTATGATATGGTAATATAATTGTCCACTGATCTGTCTGTTTTCTTTTCTCTGGACTGAGTTCCTAAAAGTCAGGGACTATGTCATAATCATTGTCTTATTTCCAGCATCTGGATTAATACCTGATATATACATCAGGGATGGCAGACCTCAGGTCCCTATGACACCTAGTCCTCATTCTGTACCCACAGCAGCAACCCATCACCTCACTTCAGCCATGCCGTGACAGAGCCTCAGGACCCTTCTAGGCAACTACTTCTGTCCAGCGCCATCTCTGATAGAAATCATCTACTATCCTACCTGCCTCTGCTTTCCCCCACAAGGGAAAATTGTCAGCAAACACTCTCCAAGGTAGGATTGGAACCCAGATCTCCCAGCGCCCAGCACCATGTCAAGCTTCGTTACAACATCAGTTTTATTGACCAGAAAAATCTCATCTCTTCTATCCAGAGATTTATAAGACAAGTGAGAGCAATTGGAAAAGCTGTTTTATTCTCTTTCAACACATTCAGAAATTGAGGCCTTGAAAGACCAAAGTAGAAAAGAAATTCTTCTGTATGGAGACTGAAATGAAACAACACTCAATAAAATAAAATAAAGCATTAAACAAAATATTTCATGTGCTTATTATGGCCTCTCTCCTTTTAGTAGTATACATTATTCAATTTTAGCTATTTTTGTAGTTTTGGCTTTTAGGATGATTATGATAAATAAAGCCATACATGAAGGTTGCCAGATACACTGTACTCAGTAAATGTTGGCCATTGTACTTAATAGGAGCTATGTAATAGTTTCCTGTTACTATTGTAACAAATTACCACAAATTTAGTGGCTCGAAGCAACCTGTTACAGTTCTGTAGGTCAGAAGCCTGAAATGGGCCTCACTGGGCTATACTTGAGGTGTTGGCAAGGCTGTTCCTTCCTAGAGACGCGAGGAGAGTCAGGTGCGTGCCTTTCCAGTTTCTGGGGGCCGCCTGCGTCATTCCTTGGCGTATAGCCTGTTCCTCTGTCTTCAAAGCCAGCCAAGCAGGGCCAAGTCCTTCTCAGGCTGCATCTCTACTGATTCTCCTCGGCCTCCTTTTCCCACTTTCAAGAACCCTTGGGGCCCCTTGGGTAATCCAGAATAATCTCTCTATTTTAAGGTCAGCTGATCAGCAACTCCAGTCCATCTGCAACCTTCCTTTCCCCTTGCCGTGTAACCTGTTACAGTCACAGGCCGTAGGGATCGGTGGGACAGGGACATCTCTGGGAAGCTGTTACTCTGCCGACCACAAGGAGCAAAGTTCAAAATGTCTTCTCATGAGATGAATTTTTCTAGGGGCAATAGGTTTACTTTTCTCTCACCATCTGCCCAGAAAAGTGATGGAAACCGCATGTAAATGCCCTCTAGCCCCTGCCCGCCTGTTTTTGATAAAGACGCCCGTGTGTTCATCTGGGAAGAGAACGTGTCCTCTGTGGAGCTTGCTGCGTACTGTCCGGTTGGGGGAGGGGCACTGGAGAAAGAAGAGCGGAAAGGTGCCACGCAGGCTCTTTTTGTTTGCTGTTTTGGTTTTGGTTTTACTTTTTGCATTTATAGGGGACCCTGGATCTCNTTACAACATCAGTTTTATTGACCAGAAAAATCTCATCTCTTCTATCCAGAGATTTATAAGACAAGTGAGAGCAATTGGAAAAGCTGTTTTATTCTCTTTCAACACATTCAGAAATTGAGGCCTTGAAAGACCAAAGTAGAAAAGAAATTCTTCTGTATGGAGACTGAAATGAAACAACACTCAATAAAATAAAATAAAGCATTAAACAAAATATTTCATGTGCTTATTATGGCCTCTCTCCTTTTAGTAGTATACATTATTCAATTTTAGCTATTTTTGTAGTTTTGGCTTTTAGGATGATTATGATAAATAAAGCCATACATGAAGGTTGCCAGATACACTGTACTCAGTAAATGTTGGCCATTGTACTTAATAGGAGCTATGTAATAGTTTCCTGTTACTATTGTAACAAATTACCACAAATTTAGTGGCTCGAAGCAACCTGTTACAGTTCTGTAGGTCAGAAGCCTGAAATGGGCCTCACTGGGCTATACTTGAGGTGTTGGCAAGGCTGTTCCTTCCTAGAGACGCGAGGAGAGTCAGGTGCGTGCCTTTCCAGTTTCTGGGGGCCGCCTGCGTCATTCCTTGGCGTATAGCCTGTTCCTCTGTCTTCAAAGCCAGCCAAGCAGGGCCAAGTCCTTCTCAGGCTGCATCTCTACTGATTCTCCTCGGCCTCCTTTTCCCACTTTCAAGAACCCTTGGGGCCCCTTGGGTAATCCAGAATAATCTCTCTATTTTAAGGTCAGCTGATCAGCAACTCCAGTCCATCTGCAACCTTCCTTTCCCCTTGCCGTGTAACCTGTTACAGTCACAGGCCGTAGGGATCGGTGGGACAGGGACATCTCTGGGAAGCTGTTACTCTGCCGACCACAAGGAGCAAAGTTCAAAATGTCTTCTCATGAGATGAATTTTTCTAGGGGCAATAGGTTTACTTTTCTCTCACCATCTGCCCAGAAAAGTGATGGAAACCGCATGTAAATGCCCTCTAGCCCCTGCCCGCCTGTTTTTGATAAAGACGCCCGTGTGTTCATCTGGGAAGAGAACGTGTCCTCTGTGGAGCTTGCTGCGTACTGTCCGGTTGGGGGAGGGGCACTGGAGAAAGAAGAGCGGAAAGGTGCCACGCAGGCTCTTTTTGTTTGCTGTTTTGGTTTTGGTTTTACTTTTTGCATTTATAGGGGACCCTGGATCTCCAAGTTATCACCGAGGTGAAGGTGGTAGGAGGGCCGGGGGGCGGGACCGTGAGCCAGCTGAGAGTAGGGGCTGGTCCCACAGTGTGAATGGAGAGGAACCTCTGGCAGACTGGCGGGCACCCACACTCTGACTTGCTGGGCGGGGGAGGAGTTGCAGTGGTTGGGAAATTGTTTAGGGTTCAACTGTAGGAGTTACTAGTCCTCCTGTGCACATTTGAATGTAGCAATTCATGTGTCAGATTGCTACACAATGTAAAATATAGGCCAGGAGAGGGGCATAGTTTTGCTTTAATGAACATGTTCTTTATTGGAATATTATTCCAAGACAATTGATATCTATTTAAAAAGTCAGGCAAAAATTATCCAGTATCACCTCCGCATTGATATATTTACTCTACTGTCCTCAGGCTTTTCCTGAATATTTGGTGAACTTGGAATCTTAGAATGGTATACCAGACACAACACCTGACTTACCAGAAAAGTCCACCAGCCCCTGAAATAGAGCCTAACAACAATTCCAGTAACTGGCTGTTCTGCTCACGGAACAATGGGACCGGAAGGATGTAATGCTTTTTTCCTGGCTTCGGTTTCTGACAGTGTGAGGTAAGCCCCTCCTGTGCAAAGGCCTGTTATGCAATGTCATGGCAGTTTTCAGAATTTGATTCAAATGTTGCCAACTACAGCTGACATCATTAGAAAATAGTCAGCTGTAAGGAGGCCTTTTTTCCCCCACATACAAAAATCTGTATGTAATTAATATGTACAACTTGATGAGTTTGGAAATAAGTATACATCCATGCAATCATCCTCACAATCTATGCCATAAAACTATCCGTAACCTTCAAAAATGTCCTCCTGCCCTCTTATTTATTATTACTGTTGTTATTATTACTAGTGCTAAGAACTCTTAATATAAGATCTACCCTCTCGGGAATTTTTTTTTAGTATCCAATAGAGTATTGTTAACTATGAGCACTATGCAATGCAATAGATCTCTAGGACTTATTCATCTTACATAACTGAAACTTTATCCCCTTGGACTAACACCTCCCCATTTCCCATTCCCTTCTGCACCTGGCAACCACCATTTCACTCTCTATGAGTTTGACTAGTTTAGACTCTTCATATGAGTGAGAGCATGTAGTATCCTCCTGTGTTTGGCTTAGTTCACTGAGCATAATGTCCTCCAGGTTCATCCATGTTGTCACAAATGACAGGATTTTAGAAGGAGCCCATTTTATTTTTCATGTCAGAGGGGAGCAGCCTTTTACTTGGCCTAGTGGTCAATAGGAAATAAGTCCAAGGAAACACAGATCCTACAGTTGGCCCACACGGCCACTCTCATTTCTGAGATGCCATGTTCCAGCCACTCTACTGGAATCAAAAGAAGTTTTCTCCTTCTGCCTTGATACATAAAGTAGAATTGCTTTTCCAACATGAAACATTGAGACATGGGTATAAGCGATATTAGTAGAAGGCAATTCTTACCTTTTATAGAAATCCCTATTTCTGTAGTTTTGGGTTTGCTATGAGCATTTTCGTGGTTTTGTGCATACGTGTTATGACTTAAGGAATTACAATAGTGATGCAGAGGAGGCCGTGACAGGCACTGAATGTGACCTGGTTTTACATGGCACTAAGCTGCTTCCCAAACTGGGAGTTGAGGAGCCTAGGCTGATTTTAAAGAAACTCCACGATGTTCCAGCAGAATAGAGCTGAGCATCTACATGAGTTTTAATGAAGGAGGAAATCTTTTTTTTTTTTCCTCCAAAAGTTCTCACCCTTACTAGCATGTGTTTTTTTCCCCAGCTTTAATACTTTGCTTTAGTGACAGAAGAGCCCCCCAGAGCTCTCGACGATGATGAAGAGGGATGGTGTCTGGCAGACTTCAGAGCTTCTAAGCGCCTCTGAAACTTTGATTCTCCAGAAATTGCCACTCTCAGAAACATTGTACGATGACTTAAAAATGTCTACCGTCCCCAAAGCCAAATAAAACTTGACTTTAGTAGGGACATCTAAGTAAAAATAACGCTTTAATACTTGCCTTGGTGTTGTTCTGGTGAGTCTTCCATTGCATTCAGCATCTCAGTGATTGCTGTGCTGACACTTTGATAAATGGAGAGACTGAAATTACAAAACAGCTGGAAGAAGCTGGGAATGTCCCAGTTCCGCACAAGATCTGCCTCTTTTGTTGGCTCTTTGAAAAAAGATGGAAAAAAGTAAGGCTCGATTACATCTGTATCTGACATGAAATATGACTGAAAAGCCCGGTCAAATTCCTGCTGCATCTGTCTGAAGACGTTAACACTCCTGTTAAAGAGAAATCTCACGTCCACGGTCAGTTGGCTGAACACGTGCTCTAGCTGGGTCACCTGTGCATCTTCCTCCGTGGCCTTTTCACCGACAGGGAGGTCTTTTTCATTATCTTCATGGAAAGGAAACAGAAATTGATATATCTTCCTAAAAAACTGTTCAATCTGTGGGGGTGGGGGGACAGAAATGGAATAAAAACTTATTTTCTTTCTGGACTATTTTTTATTGTAAATTTTAAAGTAAACTTACAGTAGTCGTTCCAAATCAAGAACAATTCTGGGCAAACTAGGAAAAGGTAATTCGATGTAAGATAATGGCTTTGACTTTGACTGTGGAAGTAGGATCTGAAATTCCTTTTCGTTTATGTTTGCCTATCAAAGGCCTAAAAAGGCCAAGTTTTCAATATCGTTGACCTGCCACAGGCTGATGTACTGGTGGTGGTTGGCCTGTCATGGTCCAAAGGGCACGGTGTAAATTGCCTGAAAACTCTAAAGAAGGCCTCTTAGTCTCTGAGCTCTCTTTTTGCCCTGCAGTGGAATATCATTAGTGTCTTTATGTTCTCCTCTTTCTCATCTCATTAAAATATTCACACTGAACTATAGATGCCTAATACAGCTAAATCGGTTACTTGGGATGGTTACTCATTTGCAGTGATCAAAGCCCTTCTTGGCTGAGTGAAAGGAATGAAGCTCTAATTATAGAATCCCCTACTCACTGGGAGAAGATTTTCCAGCAGTCACACTGTGTTCTACTTTATCTATGTGACACCTAAGTTTGTGCCAGAGCATAGCTGCCCTTATATGATAGTGATATAGCTACGCTGCGTGTTGTGGAACACATCAACTACTGAACATCCCTGCTGTAGCACCCCAGTGCTGTTCAAAGAATTCTCCAGAAATTCTTTTTTTTTAATATAATTTTTTTTTTTAATTCTCACCTGAGGATATTTTTTTCCATTGCTTTTCAGAGAGAGTGGAAGTGGGGTAGAGAGAGAGGGAGACAGACAGACAGATGCTGACCGGGGCAGGGGATTGAGGATTGAGCCTGCAACTGAGGTACTTGCCCTAGGCCGGAATCAAACCCAGGACCCTTCAATCCGTGGGCCGACACTCTAACCCCTGAGCCAAACCGGCTAAGGCTCTCCAGAAATTCTTAGAGGACTCATGCCTTTCTCAAAAAGTAATATGAGTGATCGTCTGCCTCTCCCTCTGCCAGTTTCTGGTTGCCTGAGTCCATTTACAAAAACAGAACTTTAAAGCACCAAGAAATTTTCACAAGGCCACACAAGTGGCACAGATAGGAATGGTCCCCAAACCTCCTGACTTCCAGCCAGTGCTTATTCCACCATATTCTGCTGTATTAGAGAGTGGCAATAAAAATTAAGCAGATGCAATTAACAGTGGAGGCAAATTAACTTGGCATATGAATCATCCTAAGGGTGCTCCCTCTGTAATTGGGTAAGGTACTGCCAAGCCAGGAGCACACTCTAATTAGTGCGTGCTCTGTTGAGAGGGAGATTTCACTCCATTTCATATTCAGCTCCCTTCTTGAAGGGGAAGGGAAATTCAGGCCAATAGAATAGGAGACTTTTGTGGGGCAGAGCTCATCCTATTCAGGTCACCTCCCTCTGTGATTCCCTCTGCCCAGAAGATAGCCAAAGGGGACAAAAAAGAAAACACACCAGTCTTATAAGACATGCACAGATAGGCCTAAAGGGGGCGTGGGTCTGTGTGTGTGCACATGCACGTGCATGCTGCCATAGAGGGCCAGCCCACCGAAGGAGAGATTCAGGAGGCAGAGAGTGTCTTCAAATGTTTGGCCTCCAGGGAAAAAAATGAAGACAGGTTGAAGTCAGAGATTATAATACTATTATTCGGAATGCAATGCAGTAAACATTTATTGGATAGCTATAATGCTTTAATGAAGATAAATGACATATGGTCCCTGCTTTTAAAGAGCTTACACTCTAGTGGGAATGTGTTCACAAATAATAAATACAAGGCAGAAAGCATCAGGGTTTTTATAGGAGACATTAATACAGTGTCATTAAAGAGAGGGACGAATACTGAATGGCTGTTCTAACTTATAGATCGTATATACCAGGAGAATCATATATAAGCATGAATGTTAAATTCTAGATTGCAAAAGGCCAATATCAGATCGGGCATCTCTATTCTAAATATTAATATCAATTTTTAAAATATGGGTTTTTAAAATTGCTTTTGGAGAGAGAGGAAGGGAAAGGGAGTGACAGAAACATTGATGAGAGAGAAACATCAACATCGATCGGCTGTCTCCTGTATGCCCCCCATCGGGCATCCAGCCCAACACCCGGCATGTGCCCCAACCGGGAATTGAATGGGTGACCTCCTGGTGCATGGGTGGACACTCAACCACTGAGCAACACTGTCCAAGCAATATAAATTAATTTTTAAAAAGTAAGCTGAAGTAGGTACCTTTAAAACTTTGAAATCCTGCCCAGCTGGGCGTGGCTCAGTGGTTGAGTGTCGACCTATGAACCAGGAGGTCACAGTTCAATTCCTGNGGAGACATTAATACAGTGTCATTAAAGAGAGGGACGAATACTGAATGGCTGTTCTAACTTATAGATCGTATATACCAGGAGAATCATATATAAGCATGAATGTTAAATTCTAGATTGCAAAAGGCCAATATCAGATCGGGCATCTCTATTCTAAATATTAATATCAATTTTTAAAATATGGGTTTTTAAAATTGCTTTTGGAGAGAGAGGAAGGGAAAGGGAGTGACAGAAACATTGATGAGAGAGAAACATCAACATCGATCGGCTGTCTCCTGTATGCCCCCCATCGGGCATCCAGCCCAACACCCGGCATGTGCCCCAACCGGGAATTGAATGGGTGACCTCCTGGTGCATGGGTGGACACTCAACCACTGAGCAACACTGTCCAAGCAATATAAATTAATTTTTAAAAAGTAAGCTGAAGTAGGTACCTTTAAAACTTTGAAATCCTGCCCAGCTGGGCGTGGCTCAGCGGTTGAGCGTCCACCTAGGATCCAGGTTATCGGTGTTCAATTCCCGGTCAGGGCACATGCCCAGGTAGTGGGCTTGATCAATGACTCTCTCATCATTGATGTTTCTATCTCTCTCTCTCACCCTCTCCTTTCCTCTCTCTGAAATCAATAAAGATATATTTTTTAAAAAAACAAACAAAAAAAACCTTTGAAATCCTAAGTTCTCTTATTCCCTTACCATATTTTCCATAGAGGACCCACTAGGTTGGCAGGTTGTATAAAATCTCATGCAGTCACTTTCCAGGCAAAACTTGCATTCGTCCCAGGAATCTGTAAAAGACTCCTGGCATAGCCTTTCTTCCTCTTCCAGATGTTCTTGAACTTCATTCATAAGTTTTATAGCCTCCTAATTTAAAAGTAGAAACAAACATTCCATTTGCATTTCATGATTCTATATATACCTTAGTTGATTTCACTCTTTAAAAATATGCATATTCTAAACTACATCTTCATTCCTCCTTCAGGCCCCTAGCAGCTGACCCATCTACCCCAAAGAAAGCTTTCTCTTTAAGAAAAGAGCACTGATTGATTCCTATGGAAGACCGTGAAAATTGTGTCCATCTGCTCATTTAGTCATTCACTAAGTATTTACTGAGTGCTTGCCATGGGACAGACATTTTGGATGTGGGTGAACCAACAATGAAGACACAGCCCCTACTCTGGGGGCCGACTGTAAATAACCTGTTTACTTGTCTGTCTGCACATCTAACCCTTGAGGGATGTAGAAAGTAGTTTTAAGGTTTAAGAAGCTGACACATTAATTTATTTCAGTTATGCTGCCTTTGATTTGTGTATGTTTTTAACATTGCAAGAAAGTGCAGTTCTTGTATATCAAGTCAAAGCTTCCTGTTGATAATTCGGATCGACGAGATGCTTGCACCCTGCGCAGCTTCAGTCTTATTGTCCATATTCCACGCGCTCCCCCTTGTGGTGACTTGCTGTACTTGGCCAGGGCCCACTCTGCGTGGTAAGGAGCCCTGCAGAAGTGCCACTGTCCCTAAGAACCTCAGCCCTGTCCCCTGAGCTCCTCTCAGGCTGGCACTCCTGCCTAGAGCCCTGGCCTCCCTGCCGGTGTGGATCCTGAAGACAGGCTCCCTCCAGGCCCGAGATGTAGTTCAGGGGATTTATGGGATATAATGGACCCACCCATTAGAAGATAGCCTTGGAGCTAATGGCCACTCCCGTCAGTGAGAACTACACAAGAAAGCAGTTTCTGTACTTAAAACCAATCTGGTGTGTGTCTTCACCTAGTGAAAAAAATATGTAATTCATTCTTTTCTGGCATAATAAGCCCAAAGAAACACCTGGGCGCTGACGATTTCTGCATCTCCTTTGCTGGGCTCGCATTGTTCGTCTGCCCTCGTGGCAGAATCCTGAGGCTAGGCCAGGTGGCATTTGCTATGTCCCACGTAAGAAAACTGGCAGGGTCCCAGCCTACTAAATATACCTTGTGGCCCAGGATTTTCTTGTCTCCTTGGGCTTTGCAGAACAGCTCTGGGACCCTACATCTTCTCAAGAAGGGCCGCCTCACCTTGGCAGGCAACAACGTATTACCCAGATTTTCTCAAGTCCCAGTTTTAAATATTCTGTTCATTGTCATCATAAACTTAGATCCCAACATTTCCAATTCCAAACTACACTCACTGTGTACCCTTGGGCAAATAGGAATAAAAATAGGATCTACCTCTTAAGGTTTTGTATTAAGTGAAATAAGCAAGCAAGGCATCTAGCAAGTTATTTGTAGTATTTCCCGATTTTCTGCCACTCACCTCGGAGAGCATAACAGAAACCAACACCAAGTCCCAGGTCCCAGGCCCCAGGTTTTGGTAGTGAAATGTGGCCATGGAGGGTGTAGATCTCTGGTTTAGGGATGCCCTGCCCATTCCTTCCATTTCCCCCTAAATGTCTCACCCATGGGCAGAGTCCATATCAATTCCTGGAGAGTACAGCTTATCAAAGTCCCACATAAACCTGGAGTGGGGCAAATTACTTTAAGCTACTCTAGGGTTTTCCAGTTTAGTAAGTTTTGGGTGCTCTCACTAAGTATTACTAGGAAGGGACCGAAGAGGGTGGCACAGTCACGCTGGATCCACTGAGGATGGGTGGTGCTCCATACTGGGAGACCAGGAGCACCAACCCCAAATTTGCCAATTCATAGTTTGTCTAAAGTATCCCCTATTCGAGGCTTAAAGTGATTTTAGCAAAACTTTGGGTTAAAGAGGTTTTTCTTTTTAAAAATTAACTTTTTGAGTGTCCAGATCTTAAGAGTGTGATTTAGTGAATTTTTATACAATAAGATTGTAAGAAAAATTAAAATTCTATGAGCCTTAGGATTCTTTAAGGCCAGAACTGAAACCAGTGCTTGCTTCACCCACCCCTCAGTGGAGCATTCTTTCCATAGTACTACACCCTTGGCCTGCAGAAAGTCACTGGGTCCCACAGGCAAAGCACCCCCTGACCTTCTCCCAGGTCATTCATGACAGTGTTGGGTTAACCTGTTAATTAACATCGAGAGCCTCAGTTTCCTTATCTGTAAGTGAAAGTAATGGTTTACCCAGGTGTTGGAAGGATTGCATGTGATAATGTTTTATAAACGGCCTGTACATGATATCTGGGTCATTAGTCCCGGTGGCCAGGCTCACAAGCCCACCAGGGAAGAACAGAGTTCGAGAGGCTTCCACATTTTCCTAAGGAGGAGTTATTTTTAATTTCCTAAAAATCTTTCGGTTGCTGCCAAAAGGAAGGAGTGCTTTCAGCTGTTGGCCAAGCAATCTCCTTTCCGTGCTAGGGACCCTGCAGGATGCGGGGGTGTAGGTGTGGCCAAAACATCAATCAGTGTGGTGACAGGCTACCCAGGGCTCTGCGGTCAGCCTGTCACACAGCCCTGCTCCAGTGGCTCACCGGACGCCTGGAGGCCACAGCGCTCGCGAGTGAAGGGAATTCCAGCAGCTGTCTGAAACTCGGTAGTCTCTAACTTTATAGGGGTAGGGAGGAAATATTAGAACTCCTATTTGTATTTTTGAATTTAAAAATTGACTCTGTGGAGGAAAAATAGGGTTTTTCCTCCCTATTTTTAATGGGCCTAGAGTTTCAGTTTTGCAAGATGGAAAGAATTCTGGAGATTGACTGCCCAGCCATGTGGGTGTACTGAACACTACGGAACGGTACACTAAAAAGTAATTAAGATGGTGAATTTTATAGTATGTGTATTTGATCACAATTTTAAAATTAATTAAAACAAATTTAAAAAGTAATTTACTCTCAATGTTAAAATTTAAAATATTTTCCAAGTTCTGTTTGTTAAAGTTTTGATTTCCTCTTCGATTCAAGGGTAATATTGGAAAATAATTTTTAAAAAGTTTTAAATTGTTTTGAGTGTTATGTTAATAATGCTACTAAACTATGAGCCATACAATGTCAATGATTTAGAAATGTATTGAGGTTTATAATTGTAATATATGAACAATTTTTGTCATCTTCCATGGACGTTTGAATTTTTGGGTATGCTCTGTTGGTAAGATGCATGGTTTGAACCACAGCTGTCAGGTAAAGGTATTCGAATTAAAAAAACAGTTAGGTTGATACTATTTCTTGTACACTGGCGCTCTATTGTGCTGCATATGTCAGACCATTGCGTGAGGCCAAAGGGATGTGGGGACCCTGGGGAAGAGGGGCCCCCACATTCCAGACGCACGGACACTGGCTTCCTCTCTCTCTGTTCACTTGCAGCCAATAGCAATGAATTGTGCTTCAGACTCAGTTAAATGATGGTTTTTATTGTCTAGTTTTAACTAAACTAGCTTTCACTAAATGGACAGGGGGGTAAAAAAAATAACACAAAACCCCAGCAGATTATGAATAATTTCAGCTCCAAAAGACAAAAAGCAAATGGCAGTGCTGACCCTGCTCCATTCTGAGCTCTTTATTAGCCAGGTGTCAGAGTGAAAATACGATGATCTAATCAGATCTAACACACAGGTTGAAATATTTCACAATATCTAGATTATTTAAAATATGGACTTACATCTACCCTAGCTAACCACAAGCCTCATCCAAAGTGTATTTTGTGCCTTGAGCTACTAGTGGTAGTAATTCATGTTTTTACTTTATAAGTAAATGAATATGCATATGTTTAGGAGTGAATGCTAACAAATATTTTAGCAATAGGGATAGGAGATCAAAAAAACTCCGCAGGCCACTGATCTAGCCAAAAACTCCCTGAACACTTCTGACTCAATATCCTAACTCAGAAGGAACTAAGGATAAAGCATTTTTAAGAAAGCAGCATTCCCAAACAGAGATGAATCCCCAAAATCCCTGGGTTCGGAGCCCAGCAAGGGCCTGTTCTACAAGAAATATGTTCTTTAAAGAAATTTAAAATTTCCTTCAAACTTTTCCTTCAATGAGGGCTGATCTCCAAAAAATATGTTACTAGGGAAAATAAATAATTCATCCATTGCCTTTATAAGTGCAATATTTATGGTTTAGATACATTTAAGAACAGACATTATTTTCAAATACTGTACCTGTTTATCGTCTCTGCATTTCTTCAGGGTTTTCATTAGATGGGTATGTTCCTCCTCTCTCCTTTCCATCATGATTTTCATCTGCTTCATGCCAATCAAAGCCTTCTTCACCTCTACATCAACATCGAGGTCCCCAGCCTCGGAAACACCTACAAGATTTGTAGTAGTTTTTTCCTTTGAGATCTGATCAGATTACCATGTACCTGTATCTGCATCAAAATACAATGAATTCACCAGTAGTTTTTTCGTGTCTCCTAAATAGAGGCTTAACTGTTCTTTTCTAGCGCCAAGCTGTAAGCAGATCCTAATGAATTAGCTGTCAGCTGCCTCACGGATAACACCTTCTGTTCCTCACTCTGAGCTCCCAGGCAAGTCCGAGTTCATTTAACCTCATTCTTGCCATTTTCCTCGGGGCCTGTTTTCATTTATCCATTTTTTTTTCTTTCACTTAAAGCTCAAGTGTGTTTGTATTATAGAAATTTTCGAATTTCCTTCACAATTTATGTTACATACCCAACTGGGAACCTCAAACCCAGTGAACAATTTCCTTTTCTCTCAGCTTCAATTAACTTCCCAGGAGGCATCAAACCTAGAGAGTATCTCGCATAATGCAAGAGCCTTTAATGACCTACCACGCATCTCTTTTTTTTTTAATTTATTTTTATTGCTGAAAGTATTACAGATGCCCCCCCCCCC